AGTTGCTGGTTGTGAACCGAAGAAGGAAATGTCCGGATTTACAGTTTATGTCAATAGAAGGCCAACAAGCATGGCAGAAGTTATTAAGGAACTTGAAGCCCAATTTACCATTGCCTGCAATTCAGCTAAAGAGGTGTCATCTATATTGGAGTCTATCAGGGCTCAGTATTCGCCCACATCAAATGACATGAAATGTAAGTTTACCCATGCTCATGCACTTTAATTACAACACCTCTTAATTTTTATCAGGGCTCAGCAGTTCATGTTAAAAACTTGTGAATTACTTTTACAAAAAAAAAAAACAATGTATACATATCCACTCTAAGTCTTGACATGTGATGAAATGCTTTTTTGTGCACTCTAAACATACAACATTTCTCAAATTATTATGTTAGAAAGAAAATACTTTGACGTACTTAATGTACTGCATACTCGTTTTTTCTCCATATTTTAACCTATTTCCCATAATTGATTTCCAACAATATTTCTCGCGTGTTTGCCAATTGGTTTAATCTTTTTTTCTTTTGCAGCCATGAAAATGCTAAACCCAATAGCTCTCATTCGCTCTGCGTCTTCAAGATCATCTTCATCTAGATTTTTGATCAATCCTTCCATTTTAAAAGATGAAAGTTATCAAAGCAACAGTGATATATCAGACGAGTCCTCTATGTTTTCAAGCAGCCACCAGTCAACCCTGGACAGATTATATATTTGGGAAAAGAAACTTTACCAAGAAGTTAGGGTATGCATCTCCAGTCAATTACTTAATCACCATGTGACACTTCAATGATAGTTTTATTCTTAGAATACATGAGTTTCATTGGAAAATGCTTTGGGGTCATAATGGATAATTTCCTTTCTTTTTTGGGGCTAGCATATGATTTACTTGCAAAATCCTTGGAAAATGAAAAACTGTTCAAAGGTGAGAGATACCGTTCAAAGTTATTCATACTATTCTTTGAGTCCACAAGGCATATTTATTGGTGTAACTGCAACAAAGTTTGAATGTGAGCATTATTTAATGTCGCTTTGGCATCCATGTTTAATGTTATCAGCCCTAACTGAGAATTTTTCACCGCCCCAACTAGTTGGGCATATGGTATTGATGTCTTGATGATGATGATGAGCTGTAAAGGAATTTTTCACAAAATTACATCATCTAGAAGCAATTTAGAAATGGTTTCTTGAAGGAATTTCACCATCACTGCAGTGATAATACTTCTTTTGCCTTCTAAATATGTCGATCAAGGCATCAAGCAGATCTATCACCTACCATCACCACCATTACCCTAATCCCAATTAGTTGCAGGGCGGTATGATGTATTTATGGTCATTAGTGTCAAAATTTAGTAAATACTGTAAATCCATAAAAGGCTATAATGTTGACAGTTTTGAATGCTAATCAGGCTGGTGAGCGAGTTCGCTTAACGTATGAGAAGAAATGTGCACAACTCAGAAATCTAGATGTGAGCGGGGCGGATCCTTCTACTATTGAAAAAACTAGAGCAACCATTAGGGATTTGCATACTCAGATAAAAATATCGATACACTCGGTCGAGTCTATCTCGAAAAGGATTGAATCTTTAAGGGATGATGAACTTCAGCCTCAGCTTTTACAACTGGTGGAAGGGTATGTAAGTTGTTATGCTCCCTTTTCTTAAGTGCTATTCACCACTTACTCAAAGGTTTATTGATCATAGATGACTTTCTTCTTGTCTTCAAAGTATAACATAAACGTAAATCCAATACGTGTAGAAGTTTCTATTCATGAATTTAATAATACCAAGCAATATCTGCCTTAATTTAAGAAATGTTCCCACTTTTCGTCCCATGACTACTACTTTTTCTACTTTTGGTGTGTGAACAACATGACTATGGATTCCTCGACACTTTTAATCCTCCCAACTTGTTGGTACCCAGCATATAAGTGGGCCATAAAGGACCAAAATGGCAAAACTGAAAATGAAAAAATAGTAGTTGGGACCAAAAGTGGGAATGCTTTATAGCTACTACGACATGACAAGTTTATATATGCTTACATATTTGATTATATGTTTGCTCACTATAACTATTGCTTTATCTGCAATCACTACTAAAAGTAGCCATTCCATTGATTGATGGTGATAAACAGGCTAGGTAAAATGTGGAAGGTGATGGCGGAGTGCCACCATATACAGAAACGGACACTCGACGATGCTAAACTGTTACTAGCCAGCACACCGTCCACCAATTCAAGAACCAAGAAATACACAATAATGTCACAATCTGAGCCTCACCAGCTGGCTCGCTCAGCAGCAAACCTTGAGATGGAGCTGAGAAACTGGAGAGCTTGTTTCGAGTCGTGGATCACTTCTCAACGGTCCTACTTGCAAGCATTGAAGGGATGGGTCTTGCGTTGCCTCAGCAAGGATTCTGGGAAGTCAAAGTCCGCACGCTCTCCTCCTCCCCCAGAGGGGGGCCCACCGATATTCAACGTGTGCATCCAGTGGTCAACACTGTTGGACAGCGTGAGAGAGCGTCCCGTGCTGGAAGGAATGGACTTCTTCGCGGCAGGGGTTGGTTCCTTATATGCACGCCAGATGAGAGACGACGCGCGGTGGAGCAATGGTGGGTCAAGGCGGTTCAGCGGCGGTGACGCCACTAACAACATGGAGCTGGTGGAAGTTGGGAGAGTGGATGGTGGTGATGATGATGAGGAGGGAGTAATGACAGCTGAGAAGATGGCTGAGGTTGCCATTAGAGTGCTCTGTGCTGGGATGTCATTTTCTGTGAGCTCACTCACAGAATTTGCTCTTGCATCAGCTGAAGGGTATGCAGATTTGATCAAGAACTGGGAAGAGAGAAATTCCAGTAGAAATGGAAACTCCTTTACAGTATAACTTTAGGATAGTCAATTATTATCTAGTGTCTTAATTGAGTAGGTACAGTGTAAATTATTGGAGTAAGTGTTTGGCGTAGACCGTAGCAGTTATTTAATCATATAGAGCAATGGGTTCTTTAATTTTGTGCCATGGCAAAGACTATAGATAATGAAAGAAAAGCTCAATGTTTCTTCAAAAGAAGAACACCTTCACATCATCTGAAAATAGTTTCAATGCATTCATCGTGCTTTCACATTTTTCTTCACTCATTGGATGACTTCTATACCCTGCATCTTTCACACACGACGACGTATGGGGCAAAGCACGCTTTAATGCCAATTTCTTTCGTGCGATGGGCAAGTTTGAGCAAATACTTGCAAGACCTGATCTGATACTTAGAGTATGTTCTCTTTAACATATACGGAGTATTTATTACTTATTCTTATAAAGAACTAGTTTAGATCAGACCAGATCAAACTGTATTCCAATCAGATCAGATTCATTCAGATTAAGTGAAGAGAATCAGCCCTTAATGCCCACAAACACACAGATTAATACTTGTCTGAATTTATTTTTAAATCATTTCATATGAAAAATGGTGTATAATTTGAAAAAATTACATATCTAAGAATGAAATCAAACGATTTACAAAACAAGAGGTAACATGATCATATTATTTTATCAAATGAACAACAAAAATATACTAATAAAGTGAATGAAGTTTGACATTGTAAATACTCCGTAGTTAAGAATAAATTAATTTTTAGACAAAGGGAGTACTTAATTAGTTATTAATTACTTCGTAGTAGTTACTAATATCTTAACTCCTATTGTTTATCACGCTTAGGGTTTTAGTATGGGTCCAATAGCCTATTAGATGAATGAGGGTGACCTGTACTCTTTATATTGTAATCATTCATCATTAGTATTCAAGAAACTAATCAATAGAAATTATTCTATACCCTAAACCTTCCTTTTTTCTTCCTCACCCTCACTCTCTTCTCCTTCTCTTTCTATCCTTCCTCCTCAATCTTTCTTGAAGCTTGAATGTACTAGAAATCCTTCTATATCTAATATGTTTATCGTATCCGTACCACTTGGGCTTTGTTTCAGCATTGACGTTTTGTATTTTCAAAAAGAAAATGACATCGGTGGCCATGTAATTGGCTTGCTTCTTCGACCAAAATAAGGTCTTATTTAACTTCAAAACGAGGAGCCAAAGACTAACTATAATTTCAAAAGCTAATTCATATTTCCCGTTGTTTGGCCCAAAAGAACTTTTTCTCGAAATACAATTTTTAATGTTACTACCTCCGTCCCAATTTAAATTGCACGTTTGCCTTTTTTCTCCGTCCGAAAATAAGTTGCCTGTTAATTGTTTTCGTAAACTTTTAAGAGTAAAATACCTAAGCTACCTCTAAAATAAGTCACTTTTCTCCACCTTATATTCACATTCATCGCCATCCCTTCTAAAAAACATTGACAATTTCCGAAAATTAACTCTATTTTTGTTTTCCTTAAATATGGCCAAAAGTCAAAACAGACGATTTAAAACGGGACGGATGGAGTAATATTTAAAAAGATATTTTTTTAAAAAATAGTCCGTATTTTAGACAATTTAGAAATACTTTAGCAATATGGGGATATGATGGCTAGGTAGGGTGTTAAGGCAAGTGGTGTGGGGTGGCAAGTGACGGGGCCAGGTGGTGTGGGTTCACAAGTGGATGGGGACAATGGGGCAAGGGTGGGTGGATTAGGTGTGGGTGGGGGATAGGGGCGGTGGTAGATTGGGTGTGGGGTGAGGGATAGGGTGGTGGTAGATTGGGTGTGGGGTGAGGGATAGGGCGGGGATAGATAAGGCGTGGGGGTGAGTGAGAGGTCGGTGGATGTGGGTGGTAAAGTAGGAAAGGGTCGAACGGGATGAATTTAGTTTTTCTTACTCCATTTTGTCTTTTCGTTTTCTTTTCACTTTTTTTTTCTCTAACCAAACGTGAAAAATTATTTTTTTTCTCATTTTCTTTTCTTTTCCCTTTTAAATTTCTTGAACCAGAGATAGTGTAAGACATCAGTAATTTTCCATCTCATCATTGAACCAAGCATCCAAGTCCATAACATACTCAAAATTTAGGACTAGGGGATTTATACATCACCCCTTTGTTAGGTCAAATTTTGGGAGTCTTGTACTGTAAGCTGTGTATTAACTAGCTCCATAGCTGACCCATATGTGTTTGGCAATGTTGTAAACTTGATGAAAAATTCACTGTAAATTATGATCAACAAAAAAAGATAATCAAGTTCAATAAGTATGTAATGTTTCTTCAAATTAGATGAAGAACACCTTTGCATCAATTGAAAATAGTTTCAGCGCATTTACCACGCTATCACATTCTTCTTCACTCATTGGATGACTTCTACACCCCGCTTCTTTTAGACACGACAACGTATCGGGCAAAGCACGCCCTAATTCCAACTTTTTCACGCCAGGAGCAAGTTTGAGTAGATACTTGCAAGACTCGATCTGATACTTGGTGCCCACAAATTCACGGATTGTAATCCGCTCGAGACATTCATGATGGTATTCATCAATGGACTCTAGCTTCTCTGGTTCCTTGTCCTCTCGGGCACACAGCTGCAATTTGTAACCGAAATCAGTCGTCACAGTCAAGATTTATAACTAGATATATAGTGTATATCAAGATATAGCACAAAGTGAATAGAAGAAGATCAAACAACAACACTCACCGATGTATAAAGATGAAGGAGTAGAGGGCACAACTTCAGAAGTTGAACAACCTTAAACATGATATCTCCCACTCTGGGATCCAACTCCACGTTTAATATCCCAAGTCTTGAGAATGTAATCGTGCTTTCTGGCATGTGTTCAAGCTGTAAAACAAAAGCGCACGGAGTATGGTTTATAAATCATAAGAAAAACATAATGGCACTTGAAAACTCGATAGCAAACATCAACTTTTATGCGCCTACCCAGTTGGAATTACAGTCCAATCTCAAAGCTCTCAAATGAGGAACAAATTCGGGCAGCTTCAAAAACTTGTACCACAAGCCATTCTCAGGCATTGCATACTGGAGTATTTCCAAGTTAGGAACCCCAGTTAGCTCCAACGAAAGAGTCCTCTCACACACAAATCTCAAACTCTTGATCTTAAGACTAGCCAGTTCAATCTTTTTCAACCCGACGCAAAACAAAACCGAGACACGCTCTAGACTGGTGAGTGAGTTGAGGCTTAAATCGGGAGGCAATTCGCAAAATTCCATTTTCAACTGCTTGAGGTTTACTAAGGTTGATAGCGAACTCCATATACATTGAGACTTCAAGCGAGTGTGATCAAATCTGAGGGCCTCTACGTGGCTGAATGGACGGAGAGAAAAAGTTGCTCCTGCATCACAGTTAGATGACAGAAGATGCTTTATAGGAATTTCGCACTGAGTACCACACAATGCCCCTTTAGCACTGCAATGTTCACAATAAAACTGCAAGTCGATCGCTTTCACACCTAAATCAAGAGCAAATCTAATCCAATCCATGACATCAGAAGTGGACTGCCTCTTCAGGCAAAAATGAACAATGAACTTTCTTATACATCTGCCTCTATACGAAGCTATGAATTGATACACAGCTTGAACAAATTTAACTTTGTATTCTGAACAAACACATTTCTTTTCTGAAGCTCCCTTGAGGTCACAGCTTTCCATTTCAAAAATGTTAGACAAATCAAAAACAAGTTTAGCCCGGGACAAAACAAGATGCCTCCATCTTGATGATACCAAACTTGCTCTAACTGCATCCCTAAGTTTTAATTTATTGAGTATACACTCAAGAATTTCATCAGGAAGTTGACTAATGTGGCCCTCAACTGTGGAGTGCACATCCTGAGATCGATACATATAAAACATGAAGACATGTTAGCAGACACAAGAATAAAATTATTATTTTCCCCAAAAAACAAAACAAACCGTTAACACTTACGAACGTTGTAGGCCTCAATAATACATGTCGGTCCAATTTAACACATCATAATTACTTCTTTAACCTAAGTCCTAATGAAAAACTGGAGGATGATATATATATATACATACCTCAAGTACTCGTCCCCCGTTTTTAAGATCAGCAACAATGTGGTTTGCAATTTTGAAGGGCAAGTGCACCATAGCTGTTATAAGTTATTACAATTTGAAATAAGTTTATTAAAATTATGAATTCCAATAGACATTAGCAGTAAGCACCAGAATACAATAATCTCAAATTAGTTCGTTCATTATTTCCCATGTTTATCGATCCGCAAAGATTCCGGCACTAAATCCATTGGTTTTGCATCTGATCATTGAACCAACCATCCAAGTCCATAAAAAAAACAATACTCATTGAAGTAAAAGACTCAACAACAAACCCAAAAAAACAGATTAAAACTTTCGGTATAAAAAATAATTACAAAAAAAAAAAACAATTGAGAGAGACGTACCAGAAGGAGTCAGGGTTTTTTTGGGAAGGACGATGGAAGAAATTTTGCTGCGTGCGACTCCCGGAAAATACAGAGCATATAAACTCCTTGCCCAATCCTCCGTAAAGAAAAAGTTTATCCAGCGTTTTGGTTCAAATAACCTTTCTCCTGTCCGTCCCCCAGTTTTTGTCTACTTTTGACTTTTGGAATTGTTCATCTAAATACTTTGACTCATAAAATTCTCTCAATGTGTAAGCCTAAATATAGTCAGGTGTGATCTTGTTTGATTTGTCTTAACATATAGATTATTAATATATAATTTCTATAATTTTTTAATATATAAATTATAATATAAAATGGATTAAAGAAAGTGCATTGGATGGTGTGTAAAAATGAAAGTGGACAAATACTCTGGGACGGATGGAGTATGAAATTTTAGGAAACCGATATGAGTTTTGAAATCTAAAACGAATTTTGTTGGAGAGATTTAAAACCATAATTTAATTAATGATAAATGAGGGTAACCAGCAACAGAGATGGTTGGCATTGACAATGTTAGTCGATAGCATATCACACCCGCATATTGATTTCGTCTAAATTCAGGAGACTTCACCAAACACCAAAAAATGATATAATACGGAGTATAAAATTCAATGATATAATATTAAATTCGATATCTCGTTTGACTTCACCAAATACCAGCAAATGATTTTGATATCCAAAGGTGTCAAAACTCATACCTGCTTTGCTCACCAAACACACCCTTAATTTTCTAGGTGTATTATAATTACAATTATACAATTATATTAAAATAAATGTGCTTTAACTTGCATATCTATTTATTACTCCATTACAAATGTTAAGCGTGCCATTGTGAAGCGTGCCAATTGAAAGTGTAGATTTCCAAAGCTTTTGTTAAGCGTGTCATTGTTAATTCAATGCAAAATAAAAATTCCCTTCTTGCTTCAAAAAAAAAGTTCCCTTCTTTTTTTGGTAAGAAATACTTTTTTTCCTCTTTCAAATTTCAAGTGAATTGCGTTTTTTCTCTTTCAAATGAATAATACTTTCCTAGCATGTGATTATCATTATTTTCTTCTTAGAATAAAAGACTTAGAGGTACAATCCTAATAAGAGATCTTGTTCAAGTAAGGTCGTATTGTCATTATTTTCCTCTTTCAAATGAATAACACTTTTTCTCAAAGAAACAATTTTCTAAATTAAACTGCGTGAGTTGAGATTGTGGGAGAGTATTATTTTCTCAAGTATTAAAGCAATACCATTGTAAATTTAAAGAAGGTAAAAACTCATACACAAATCTAAAGTCACAAACAAACAACTCACAAAATTTACAAACTTGTCTTTTTAAAATTTTTCTAAAAATAAATTGCATTCAAATAATAAAAGATATTTTAATTTAAAATCCACAAAAGCAAGTTTGTGAACTAAAAGAAAAATTGTACTGTAAAATAAAGTCCGAAATATCACTCCCATTAGTCCCATACTAATTGTCACAATCATAGACTATATTCTATTACAGATGTGAAATAATCGGTATCAGTGGAGAAAAAATATCAAACAGCGATAATGAAGGTATGTTAACGGCGGCTGTCCGAACTCAGTGGAGGTTGTGGCTAGGTATGTTGGCGATATATTCTGACGAGTTGGCCTAGCAAGATTTAAATGTAGGCAAAATTTCATCTCATACATGACACACATGTATGAATTAAAATGCCAATATAAATCCTATTTGCGTTAATATAAAATTTTTGGGGCATTCATATCTCTCCTTTGAATTACTTGATGTCAAACTCACCGTAAGATTAAGTTAACAGTGTAGTTTACAGATCATTTCAAAATTTTAATTTGTACTACGCAAAAAAAAATTATAAAGTCATGAAACATCTTTTAGTTCGAGCACAATTAAACTTTAGAAAAATGAGTAATCACTTACTTGAAAATGAATATTCAGTTGCTCGAAAACAAGCATTCAATTGCTCTAAATGAGCACAGAGTACTCGTCGCAGATGTACGGGAAACATTGTACCACCGGTTATACGGTATATATTGCGAGTGACTAATGTGGTTATCACAAATTCTATTAGGACTAACTTGATTCAGACATTTAAGTATTTGAGCAAATAAAATTGTCTTTTATTTTATTAGACATTTCGTTTAGTTTTTAATTATATAGATTTTATTTTCAAATTTTCTGCTTACGTTCAAACATCAGTAAAAAAAAAAATTATTCATGGAATGGACAGAGAGAGTGCTATTATTATTATTATTACTCTGTATCACATTTGCTCCGATGTAATGTTTCTTCAGAAGAACACTTTCACATCATTTGAAAATGCTTTCAATGCATTCAGTGCGCTCTCACATCCTTGTTCACCCAGTAGATGTCTTCTCCGCCCTGCTTCTTTTAGACGGGACAACAAATCGGGCAATGCACGCTTTAATCCCAACTCTTTCGCGTGAGGAGCAAGTTTGAGTAGATACTTACAAGACTCGATCTGATACTTGGTGCCCACGAATCCATGGATTGAAATCCACTCGAGGCATTTATGATGGTATTCAACGGACTCTAGCTTCTCGGGTTCCTTGTCCTCTCGGACACACAGCTGCAATTTGTAACCAAAATTAGTCATCACAGACAAGATTTATAACTACCCGTATATGTGCTCCTAGTAGCTAGTATGCAAGACACAGCACAAAGTGAATACAAGAAGATCAAACAACACGACTCACCCATGTATTAAGATGACAGAGTAGAGGGCAAGATTTCAAAAGTTGAACTATCTTAGACATCATATCACCCGCTTGGGGATCCAATGCCAGCATTAATGTCCTAAGTTTTGAGAATGTAGTTACGCTTTCTGGCATGTGCTCAATCTACAAAACAAAAACATTTGGTTTATAGTGCATAAGAAAAAAAACAAAAATGCATTTGATAGCCAACATCAACTTTATGCGCCTACCCAGTTGGAACTAGAGTCGACCCTCAAAGTTGTCAAACGAGGAAGAAGTTCGGGCAGCTTCATAAAAATATGGTGCATGCTACCGCCATGCACAGAGTAACAGAGCTCTTCCAAGTTAGGAACCCCAGTTAGCTCCAATGAAACAATCCTCCGGCACAAAACTTTCAAACTCTTAAGCTTAAGACTAGCCACGTCAATCTTTTCCAACCTGGTGCAATGGAAAACCGAGACACCCTCTAGACTGGTGAGTGAGTTGAGGTTTAGATAGGAAGGCAATTGGCATTGTTTCATTTCCAACTGCTTAAGGTTTACTAAGCTTGATAGCAAAGTCTCCATACAATGAGACTTCAAACATATGCGATGAAATATGAGGGCCTTCAGCTGGCTGAATGGACGGAGAATAAACGTTTCTCCTGCATCACGGTTAGATGGCAGAAGATGCTTTAGAGGAATTTCGCAACGAGTACCACACAACGGCACTTTAGCTTTGCAGTGTTCACCATAAATCTGCACGTCGAGCAGTTGCACACCTAAATCAAGAGCAAATCTAATCCAATTTAAGACAGCAGAAGCAGAGTCCCTCTTCAGGCAAAAATAGACAACGAATTCATTTATGTGTGTGCCTCTATACGAAGCTATGAATTGATTTACAGCTTGTACGAATCGATCTTTGTATTCTAAACAAACACATTTCCTTCCCGAGGCTCCCTTCAGGTCACAGTTTTCCATTTCAAACATGCTAGGCAAATCAAAAACAAGGCGAGCCCGGGACAAAACAAGATGCCTCCATCTACATGATACCAAACTTGCTCTAACTGCATCCCTATGTTTTAATTTATTGAGAATACACTCAAGAACTTCATCAGGAAGTTGACTGATGTGGCCCCTAACAGTGGAGTGTACATCCTGAGATCGATACATATGAAACATGATGACATGTTAGCAAACACAAAAATAAAATTATTATTTTCCCCGAAAAACAAAACAATCCATTAACACTTACGAACGTTGTAGGCCTCAGTAATACATGTCGGTCCAATTTAACACATCATAATTACTTCTTTAACCTAAGTCCTAATGAAAAAACAGAGGATGATATATATATACATACCTGAAGTACTCGTCCCCCTTTTTCAAGATCAGCAACAATGTGGTTTGCAATTTTGAAGGGCAAGTGCACCATAGCTGTTATAAGTTATTAAAACTTGAAATAAGTTTATTAAAATTATAAATTCCAATAGACATTAGCAGTAAGCACAATAATACAATAATCTCAAATTAGTTCATTCATTATTTCCCATGCTTATCGATCCGCAAAGATTCCGGTACTAAATCCATTGATTTTCCATCTGATCATTGAACCGATCATCCAAGTCCATAAAAATAACAATACTCATTGAAGTAAAAGACTCAACAACAAACCAAAAAAAAAGGATTAAAACTTTAAGTATAAAAAATAATAACAAAAAAAAACAATTGAGAAAGACGTACCAGAAGGAGTCGGGGTTGGAACTTTTGGGAAGGAAGATAGAAGAAATTTTGCTGCGTGCGACTCCCGGGAAATACAGAGTATGTAATAAACTCCTTCGATCCTCCGGTAAAGAAAAAGCTTGACCAACACTCTGTTTGGTTCAAATAATCTCCTCTTTCTATATGAGTTATGAAATTGTAGGATTGGGAATATTTAAAATCATACGGAGTACTCCTTAATTTAATTAGTACAGTAATAAACGGGGTAACCCACAACAGAGATGTTTGGCAGTGACAATGGTAGTCGATAGCGCATCACACCCGCATATTGATATTGTCCAAATTCGGGAGATATTGAATCCTTCATTTTGAGGATTTATGATAAGATATTAAATTCGATATTTGTTATGACTTCACCAAACACCAAAAAATGATTTTGATATCTGAAAATATCAAAACTCATATCCGCTTTGCTCACGAAACACACCCTTAATTTTATAGGTGTATTATAATTACAATGATTCAATTTTATTAAAATAAATGTGCTTTAACTTGTATATCTTTTTACTACTCCATTACAAATGTTAAGGGTGCCATTGTGAAGCGTGCCAATTGAGAGGGTAGATTTCCAAAGCTTTTGTAAAGCGTGTCATTGGTGTAAGTGTAGCATTGTCCCATTGGAATTATGCTATGTGTACCCCAACATTTATACCCCAATTTGTACCCCGCGGGTTTACAACAACATTTTGTGTTGGTTTAAAACTAATTTTTGTTAACGCACCAACATTTGTGTCCGTGTAAATTTTTGTTAACGCACCAACACTTGTGTCGGTGTAAACCATCAAAATGTTTGTGCAAAACTGTAGTGTACAAATGGGGTATATTTTTTGGTGTAAGTGTAGCATTGTCCCATTGTTAATTCAGTGCAAAATAAAAGTTCCCTTCTTTTTTTGGTAAGAAATACTTTTTTCCTCTTTCATATTTCAAGTGAATTACGTTTTTCCTCTTTCAAATGAATAACACTTTCCGAGCATATGAATATCATTACTCCGTATTTTTTCTTAGAATAAAAGACTTAGAGGTACAATCCTACTAACAGATCTTGTTCAAGTAAGGTCGTATTGTCATTATTTTCCTCTTTCAAATGAATAGCACTTTTTCTCAAAGAAACAATTTTTCTAAATTAAACTCCGTGAGTTGAAATTGTGGGAGAGTATTATTTTCGCAGGCATTAAAGGAGGACCATACTTCATATTAACATAATATTTATCAACAAAAGTCACATAAATCTCGCAAAAAGTATAATCTAGAAAAATAAATAAAGGTCCAAATTCACAGTAATAATAATAGTGAAAATGTAGATTTAGAGAAGGTAAAAACACATACACGAACTATAGACCCAGAAATACAATTCAATTGGATCCCACAAGAGTAGGGTATGGGGAAAGTATGTATGCAGACTCTTTGTCCCTACTCGAGATGTTGTTTCCAAGAGACCATGCATGTAAGCAGCACCTGAAAATGAAAATGAAATTCAAAGGCCGAAAGGTTTCTTCAAGTGACAAAGACCTTCACATCATTTGAAAATGCTTGCAGCGCATTGACTACACTTTCACGTTCTTTTTCATTCACCGAATGACTTCTGTACCCTACTTCAGTTACGTGAAACATGAGATCAGGTAGATCATGCCTCAATACCAACTCCTTCGCGCGCGAGGGGCAATTTTGAGTAAATACTTGCAAGACTCGAGCTATTATTTGGTGCCTACAAATCCATGCACGCATTTCAATCATCTTCATATGTTCATGATAGTATTCAATGGGCTCTAGCTTCTCATTTTCCGTGCCCTCTCGATTGCTCAACTGCAATTCATAACATAAAAAAATCATCACAATCAGGGATAGTCAAATTAGACAAACAAACTCGAACTACCAGCTTGATTGAAACCCAAAGGAATGCCTAGAGATTTAGGATCTTGAGTAGTTGGACAGACCTATGAATCTCATGTCATACTTTTTTATGGCATGTCTTTTGCTTTGAGTGTGGTAGTTTTTTGGCTCCATGAGGGTCTTCTTGCCTTAGTTTGCTGCTGGTGTGTGTGCCTTTTAGCTTTTGCTTTTTAAGTTGGTTGGGTAATTCTTCCCTTAATTTTCGCCTAATATTCAATACAATTTCTAATTTAGGCTGTTTTGGTGGCTCGCCGGTCAACAGAGGAGAAGCCTTTGCTCAAGTTTAGTGTGTAGTGCAATTCCACAATTTATAAATCTGATATTTTATAAATGGATTCACGTGCAAGTCAATTTTTTTCAATCAATTTAGTATTAAAATTTCATGTATTATCAAGTTATTAATTCGGATTGGAATGGAATTCATTAGAAATCAAGATGATTTGTGATTCTTATTCAAGGCCTTCAACTTCCATGTACATTAAAAATATATTGCAATGAACAAAGTCGGGTATTGTATTTCCTAGCGCATTGTAACATGTTTTCCATTGTTTTTAAAGTTTAACGAACATTTTCTCTTATTCTGTATTTTAAAGGTAAAAAGGGAATGCATTTACATCATAAAAGGATAATGCATTCTGTTGGTGGTAGTTGGAAGGCATTGGTTTAATAGTTGTTACAATGCTAAGGGAGAGAAATGGTTTGTTTAGTTCCATGCAATGAATGTCTTCCACAAGTGTGCTCACTTCTAGGATTCAAAGTATCTTGTGAAGCTCTTGTGTGAACATTGTGAGTGTGGCAGCTCCTATTTTGTCGCGCATTTTCACAGATACTTTGAACCCATTTTACTGATACTCTGAACCTGTGAAGTGTGATATATTGTGGGTGATGAAACTTTTGGAATGGGACAGTAAAGTTGATTAATATAGGTACCTATTTGTTGTTGCTTTTTCATTCACACATTGCATGCAAAGAAAGGTGGCCCCCTCATTGTAATCGACTATACGGTTGCACGTATCACATCCTATATAATGGGGAAGTGAATTAGGGCCCAAGATCCTCAGGTGGCCTTTGATCCAGAAGATTTGGTCCTGTAGATTTATGTAGAGTCACTGTTTAGTATAAGTTATGAATTGGAAATGTGCTTGTAAGTAGTAACAATATAAAATCAAGACATGTTAAGAATTTTTAAATATGGCTTATGAGGTTATGTTTATGTTTGTCGGAGTGTACAATAAGATACACATCAAAAATAAAGTTTTGAATGATATATAGCATAAAGCTTTATTGTATATTCCAGTCATTTTTTCTCCTTTGACTGACATGCTAACAGCAAGCACATCTGTTGTTCAAAATATTAAAAGTTAGTTTGTAAGGGATTGATGTTTACCATTGCTTTGCAAAATATGGAAAACATATATACCAATACCAGGTTTAGAATATGGTTGGATTATGAGGAGTTTTTTGTCTGTTGCTGAGAATTGTTGTATGAGGTTCAATTGTAGATCAAATGCCTAGATAAGCTTTCTCACCAGGACAATCAGTCCCCTGACAGATTTAAATTCAACGAAAACAACAGCCAAAGAATTGAAACTAGGTGCTCAAAAACAGTAGCAATAGCAGCAACTAATGACCAGCAAGTTGACAGCAACTACTATATAAATCCAACGCTGACAATCAGCTTAAAACTTTGAATAAGAAACCGGAAGCTAATAAAAATCCGAAGGGGCCCAAATTAAGGCAATCATTTCTTGTTGATTGAAGTATGATTTGCCTCTTCTTTTGGTAAATTAGAATTAGCAAATCTGAGAATAACAAATGAGATAAACAGAGTGAAGTGTGTGTGCTTTATTCCATGAAAGAAATTCCAAATAAACAGAGATCTCCAAAGAGAAGTAAGGAGACTTAGATAAAAGCAATGACTCATATTCCATATTCCGTGCGCCACAAAACACACAGTGAGTCTAACATTGTTTTTAGAGCAAAAGGTGAGTTATGGTATATGTAACATGTAAGTGATTCGTGAGACAGGTGGAGTATGTTCTGTTGACATTGCCTTTGGGGAACAAAGGGAAAATTAGTACGATTTGAGGATAAAAGTGCAAAAAAAGTAAGTAAGAATTTAATGTGAAATGAAAATGTACACAATAGAACACCTCCAGCAGGAAATAGCGTGGAGGGTATATTTGCCCACCTATGAAGTTTGTCCCTTGCCTCTTTCTGTTTTTTACGCCCCTCGCGATATCTAAGTCGACATCTAAAATATCTTTGTTCTAGGCGATCATCTCTAATAATTGCTCGGCGGCCAGATGAACTTCCAATTTCCATGGGAACTAAACATAGTCCATGTGGGAAACAAATTTTCAACAGATAATGACTGAAATTAAAAAACCCTTAACCAATCCTATAATTCTCACTAAATTTATAGCCAGCCAATTTAAACAATGTTCGTATGCAAATGATGGGCTGGATTTTGTTTTCGGTAATAACTAATAATATAATACAAGTTTAATGGGATGGTAAAATCCCTCGGATTTAAATTATACAAACATGCAAGCAGAAAAGAAATTAAGTTCAAGAAGTATTAACTTACAAAATTGCATGGTACATTCATGTTGTCATTATATTCTGGAAAAACTTTATGGACAAGGTCATCTATAATAGACTCCTCTTCATTGCAGACTTGTATGTTCCAACATCATTCAGACCATATTCGTTGTTGTTGTAATCTTCCATACCCTCATATGCCTCTTGTGGAAGGTCCTCATCATCATCAGTTGAGTCTTCTTCATCCTCTAACGGCACATAGTCCTCATCTTCTGATGACATAGCATTGTCCACCTCTGCCTCAAGAGGTTCATTAATAAACATGTCTGCAAAAATACTCTTCTGGGATATCATCAAATTCACAGACATCTTCAATCAAACTCTTATTACCAAGATTCAATGGTTCATTCAAATTCAATGGTTCATCTACGTCCAGTCCATTCAAATTTAATGGTTCATTAGCTTCAAGGAAAATCTTGGCATGCCAGAATCCAATATGTGCGTTCAAGAAATCTCTCAAATGAACATCGCATTCAATCCTCGTAACCCCATTTGCAATACTCTTCCCAGGACTAGAGTAGTATATCCCACTGACGCCACCTTTCCCACCCACCTCGTCGTGCAAATAACTAAACTCAAACATGCTCAGCTTTTCAATGTCAACTGCTCGTCTCACCATTGTACCTCCTTCATAATGAATGTTGGGTTCCCACACGATCTTACCCACAAAATACACCAACAAATCAACAAGTTCCATGTGGTTGGCATTCCTATTAAAAAAACCCCAAAATTAATTTCCAAATGCCATAAATTAACAGTGTAAAATTTTCAAAAAAAATTCCCTAGTTTCGCCATTAAAGAGAGCATTAAAATAGAGAGATGCATAAAGCTAAAAACCCTAGTTTTAATTATGCTATTGAACTCTTACCGTTCTTTCGCCATTAAAGAGAGCTAACTTTGTTGACTACATCCAAGAACCAATTCAAGAAGTAACATAGATTGATTAGAGAAATAAAGCGGAAATTGAGGATGAGGTTTACGAGAGAGAGAGAGAGAGAGCAGCAGTAGAAAGTGTTTCGTCAGTGGGAATTTGAAGTAGTGGAGCACCTGTAAGTTAATTTGAAGATGAAATAAGAAATAAAACAAAGCCCTTTTTGGTCATTTTCTTATCCACCCTTTAGTTTAACGCGTACCGTCAATAGGATGTCGCGTTTGCAGCTAAAGTATTAGTTGAGGGACTATTTATGGGTATAAAATACTTGAAGGACCAACGGTGCATATCTAAAAAAGTTGAAGGACCATACGTGGATTTTAGCCGAGCTAATTATAGTCAAATAGCATTTAATTAATTATGCATGCAAAATTATTCTAAAAAGGAAACAACGTAGATCTTGTTTGCAAAATTAGTCTCTTCCTTTTTTACCAAAATTATGTAATTATGCATTCGAAATTTCTTTTAATTTATCATTCTATTATTCTTAAAAGTATTTTCTTTTAAGAATAGAGTGATTAAGTAAATAATTACCTATTTAATTAGGCATAAATAATTACTTTTTGATAAAATAATCAGGCGTAAATTATCCCAAGTAATTATAATAATAATAGTAGTAGTAATTAGGCATAAATAATTACCTATTTAAAAAGGAAACAAAATATAAAAAATCTCTTGCACCGTTCCTTCTTTTTTATCACAATCAAGTGATTAGGCGAAATTGGTTAGGAAACAAATTACTCCCTTCCTTTTTTATCAGAATAGAGTGATTATGCATGCAAAATTTCCTTTAATTTATCATTCTAAATAGGTAATATTACACAATCAATCATAGCCGGAGATCTTATCTGTTCTTTCATATCGACGGCGGAGGAGATGAGTGCATTGGGCCGGAAAATAATTCCCCTGCTTTTAAGAATAGAGTGATTTTAGAAAACTTACCATTTTTACGCGTTTGTGCTTGTAAATTATAATATTTTTTAATGATAAATAATTAATTTGTAGTTTGTTTGAAATAAATCATTTTAATCCTGCCCATACTTTCTTAATTTGTAATTTTTAAATTTTATTTTAATATTTAAATGGCAGTGTATTTTATTTCCATACTTCAATTCCCCAATGGTTCACTACTATTTAATTTAATTTAATTTAAATGCTTAAATGGTGTAAGATTTAAATAAAAATAAAAACATACTTAAAATGGAAGGAAAACATTAAGGTAAAATAATTAAACTACCATTTATGTTGTCAACACTTTCCATATATGAGTGTCATGCATGGGCGGGAAAAAATTCATGTCTTTTTAAATAATGTATAGATGTATCGATGCACTCCTATTTTACATTTTTGCACTTCTATTTTACACTCCTAGATAACTTTGAGTACAAATTATAAAAGTTTATTTGGGTGGGTTCACATTGTTAGCCACATATACAGGGAATTTCATAGAGTATTTTTTTTTTTGCTCAAGGTATTGCCTTAGTTTTCAACAGAGTAGCTTTTATTTATAATTTAGGTATTTTGATTGATTATTTGAAAAAATTAACAATTTTCATTATTTCTTGTTTTGTTAAACTTTTGACTTAATTTTAAAATATGTTTTGTTTTTAATTTCTTTACCAAAGATGAATATTAAAAATAATGAAATTTTGTTTCATTTTACATAAAATGTAAAATATTTTAGAACGAAAAGAGTAGAAAATATGTGTCCAACATATAAAAAATGAACCCACTCTCACATAACTCTAGGTCCGCCACTGCGAGCGAGTATGACCAGTAGCCTACCGACTAGAACTACCACCAGAGTTGAGCAAGATTCACGATGTGTTCTGCGTGTATATGCTGAGAAGGTATCATTCAGACCTATCTCATGTAAACGTAAAAACTAGCGTAAATCATGGCGCGGCCACTGAGCCATACATGGTGCGGCCTTCTCACTTGATGACGTATGTGGCAGTGACACTATTCCAACGAGCGTGGTCGGTGTATAGTAGGTGACGACGTTGTAAATCATGATTTTTAGGAAGATCTTGAGGTCGGCTCAAGTCTCCTCGTAGATGAGACCGAAGATGTACTTCACTAGCTCCTCGCTCCAAGGGGAGCGAGATAGTGGATGGAGCGAGACGGCGGATGGAGGGCTTCGTAATCCCGTGGATGTTGTTAGATGAAGTGAGAATCGACGGTCGTATGTATGTCGACGCGAATTATGATTTTGTTGACGCGGATTGTGGTTTTGCTTTTTATAAAAATACGCAAAAAGTCTTTTGCATCGGTTGTTTCGAAACAGCCGATGCAAAAACTCATTTTCAAAAAAAAATTAAAGGAGCTTTTGCATCGGTTATTATAAATGACCAATGCAAAAACTCTTTCTCAAAAAAAAAATTAAAATTAAAGGAGCTTTTGAATCGATTTTTTAACTAACCGATGCAAAAGATTTTTTGCATCGGTTATTTAAAAAACGGATGCAAAAGATCCTTCCCAAATATAAAAAAATTAAATGACCTTTTGCATCGGTTTTTTAAATAACCAATGCAAAAGGTCTAAACTTTTGATATATGAGTAGCTTAATTCATATACTAAATACTTCCTCCGTTCACTAATTTTTTTTCTCACATTCCTTTTTGGGTCATTAAAAAATTACTTTTTTCGCTTTTTGTTTTAACAAAAAACTTTTAATGAGTGTATCATACAATTCAAGTTTTATTCTATACTATTTACTTTATTCCATCATATTAAGGGTAAAGCATGAAAAGTCTTTACACTTTTTCTTAATCTTTGTGTCAATTCAAAGCAAAAAAAATTTGGATGGAGGGTATACATGCCTATACCAAATATATACAATGTGCGAATCTAATGAGAATCAACCTTATATTATTGTACAGATATCAAAATATATCATTAGATATGAGGTTAATATCAAATTAACACCAATATGATATAAATTAATAAAGGACTAAATACAAAAGTGTACACATAAAAAAGGACCCAAACGTCATATTTAATAATAAATGAATAAATATGTGAAATTGGCTATTATCAATAAGATCAATTATAAAATTTAATCTAAAAATGAAAATAAGCATTTTGAGTGTGTATTTAAGGCTTAACTTTTTAAACTTATCTGATTTATTTTAATCTGATTTAATTAAATTATGATCTGACTTGATTGTAATTCTATTTGAAATCTGGTTTGATTCCAACAAGAACAAATGATAAGTAAAAACAATAAGTTAAAACATTATAAAAAGTGTAAAACATTATTCCAATATAGTCCCTTCGGCCTAGAAAGATTTTTCTATTACGTTTGTTATAACGATTATTACTTTTATACAATCTTTATATATAAAATTTGAGAGTTGAACTTTCAGAAATTTGACATGTGGCAGACTCCTTGACAATTTTTTACTCCTCATCCGCCACTTTTGATGACTTAAGTAACTTGACAATTTTAAATTAAAATATGGAAAGAACTTATCAGATTTAGAACTTATTAGTTCTAGATCACAAAGATACCCGTGCAACTATATCAAAAAAATTGTATACCTTGAAGTCTTTCAAAAAGTTTGATATTGAAACAAACTTAATTGAGTACACATTCAATTCTCAAATATTGTTTATTCTACATTGGATTTTTTGTCTATAGTATTAAAAATCATAGGGAAATATATTTTCTTTATTCTAGAAAAAATATTACATTAAAAAAGTTTCAGAACCAACAAAAAACTCGCTCGACCCCGTGCGTTGCAGGGTAAAAATACTAGTACTATTTAATAACCATATCTATATCTATATATTTATTTAAAAAGAGGAGAAATTCTCATTGAGTTTTCCCGCCTAACGGGTCTTCTATATGGTAAGAATTAAATGAAATAGTAGCATGTAAAAGATAATTAATATTGTTGAATTGTGCTCCACCGTGTATAATAAATTAGTAATAACTTGACAAAAAATGACCCGACTTGTTTTTGACCCGAAACCTGACTTGAAAATACTGGGTTTTGAACAAAAGTTTTGATAACTGAACCCGATGTTGACCGAACCTAAAATGACCCGCTAAAAATGGGTCGAACCCGAACCCGACCTGACCGACCCACTAAACTAAGAATTTTTCAAAATCATACACTTTATTACTCGTTTTTAGTGTATAAATTTATATTTTCAGACAAAATTTTAATGATATTACATAATTATCTTACTTTTTTCCAAACTTAAGCATTTTTAAATTCCTTATATTGATTTATATATCTAAGAATCACTTTAAAGTTTAAAATAAAATACTTTTATAGATTTAATATTTTTTTTTGATATGTTAAATTTATTTAATAGAAAATGCAAGTGTTGATGTAAATTTAAAAATTTAAAAACCAAAGTCATAACCCGTTGGGGACGATCCAAACCCGATGATACTGGATGAACATACAGTTCTCAACCCGAACTCGAATTGACCCGAACCCGAAATAACCCGAACTTGAAGTGACCGAACCCAAACCCAACCTGACCGAGCGATTTGCCAGCTCTAGTAATACTAATACTAATACTCCACCTATGAACAGATACTACCTTGTAATAGAGTCAATAGCATTCAAAAAAAATACTAATGCTCCACCGTGTGTAATTAATATTATTACCTTCCATTATTATTACTAGTATCACACCCGCGCGTTGCACGGGTCATATTTATGTTACTAAATAAAAAATTTTCTTCAACGGCCATATTTAAAAGTGCACTTGAAAGAAACTAATTACGAAAATCCTTGCAAATGATCGCATTTATACTATGAAAAGTTTTTGGCTTATTCTATTTTCCTTTTTCAAAATTTTTATTTTTAAAATTACAATGTACGGAGTAATATTTTTGGCCAAATTACATGGTTGGTGTTACTTACCATTTTAACATTCCTTTTTTAACTTAAATTTTTAATTATCAACGTGTATTTATGATTCTTTCTTACCAAACCGTATATAAGAAAAACACTTTATTTAAAATACCTAAAAAGTATAAATGAAAATACAACTGTAATTTTAATTTGGATACTTTAAGATGTGAGAATATTTTTTTGTTCAAGGCAACGTTTTTTTTAAAGATAGTAATTTTTTATACATGATACCCGCAAAAAAGAAACATACAGTACCTTTTTTAATAATATTATTACATTGATTATAATGAAGTTACCTTATTTAAAATACGTATAAAGTAAAAAAAGGAAAGATAATTATTTTTTGAAGTTACTCTAAATTTTTAATTATCAATGTGTATTTATGATTCATTCTTACCAAAGTCGTGCATTAAGAAATCACTTTATTTAAAATAACGAAAAAGTATAAATGCAAACACAACTGCAATTTTAATTTCGATACTTTAAGATATGATACTCCGTAATATTTTTTTCAAGGCAATGCTTTCATGTTTTTTTCCAAAGACGGTAATATTTTATAAATGGTAATCATGTAAAAGGAACCTACCTTTATTATTATCATTATTATTATTATCATCATCATTATTATTATAATACAGTAATATTTTTATTATTATAAAATTGTTTGCTTAGGTTAGCAATTATTATTATTGTTAATTTTTTTTATAGAAACCAAGAATGGCACTGCAACGCTTAATTACCATTGATTAAATTAAAATGGAAACATATTAATTAGTAATTAATAGAAATTAAATTAAACCAAAAAAGGCAAGTAATACTTACCATGTAAGGAGTTATACGAAACATAGCATTCAATAGTATCCATATATGCTTCACATGTATTGAGGCAAGACAATTAAAGTACTAAACAGTTTCCATATATTAACATCGCGTATGGGCGGGAAAAAATTCCCCTCGCTTTAAGTATAGTATAGATAGTATAGATTTCATATATTAACATCGCGTATGGGCGGGAAAAAATTCCCCTCGCTTTAAGTATAGTATAGATATAGATTAGTAAGGTAATTCTATACTTTAGAATTATTAATACCATGTTATGAAAGGTATAATAATTATGAATATGTAATTGCTATACGTAGTACATGGTAAGGTGATACCATGTTGTAATGGTGAATTGTAATGGGAAAGGGATGTGGCTCTTAAATACACGGTAATATTTTTTTATACACAATAAGTTAAAAGGTAATTAAACTTTCCATTATTATTTAATTGTAAGGTACCGTGTTATCATTTTTTATTAATAGATATTTTAAATAAAATAATTTTGTTATTCATGATTTTTCTTCATACGTATTTGAAATATGAAAAATGCGCTAGGAGTACACCTATGGTGTACCCCATATGTCCCCCACCCCCTCCTTGTCCAGGCAAAAAAATTTAAAAAAAATAAGTAAATAAAAATCAAATAAAAATGTGTGGGGGAGAGGGGGTGGTGTACATTTGGAGTAACATGACAATCATGAACCTGTAGCAACAAAGCCAAGATAAGCTGTGGCCATCACCATTGATACCAGCTGTATCTTTATGACCCGAGCAGGAATGAAGGAACCCAGCGATTATGCACACTGAGGCAGTCGGCTCCCACAATAACATACTGTAGTGGACAAAGCTCAATATGTTGCTGTAGCCACTATTACTCATTGAAAAGTGGGGACTATCTGATTTGGCATATCAAGGATGTGTTAGGGATGAGTAAACAGAGGGGGGGAGTACTGTATAGAGAAAGACTTCTTTTGTTACTCAAACATTATTTGCTTATTATATCTCAATTATGGGGATTACATGTTACTAAAATTGAAATTCAAGATTCTTATTTTTTCATGGTCG